TTGGTAGGGTGGAGGGTCGACGAAAGAGGGGGAGGCCTTCAACGAGATGGATTGATACGGTGGCTGCAATGGTGAGCTCAAGTATAGCAGCGATTGTGGGGCTGGCGCAGGATAGGGCAGTGTTTCGTTCTGCTGTGCATGGGGTCGCTATGAGTCGGAAACGACTCGACGGCACTTAACAACAACAACAATCATTTGGAATTAAACTACCACATCATAATTAAGCTATCATGATTATTAAGAATTTGAATATCATAGTAAAATAAAAGACAATTCTCTTTGTAGCCCTAAAGAAAAAAAAAAAAATTCTATTTCTAGACCAAAGCTTGAGAAACTGAACACTGTTTTAGTGACAGCGCACATGTGTTCTTTGTTGTTGTTGTTGTTGTTATGTGCCATTGAGTTGGCCCCGACTCATAGCAACCCCTCCTTGGGTTTCCGAGGCAGTATCACTACAGAAGTAGGATTGCCCAACCTTCCTTCAGTTCTTTAAGCAGCAGTTAAAGATGGGTGTTAGCTTTTTTATTTGAGGAGGAAAGGCTATGGTGACATCTTCTGGCCAAAGGAGAGTACTACCAATTAATGGTTCAACATATTAAACCAAGTTCCTCAAGAAGCAAAAAGCAGCAACTGCCCCTTTCAAGATCAGTCAAGATCACTCTATGAAATGGCTTCTCATCCCTGCTTCTCTCTGCTACACCAATGGCCCTTGAGCTTCTACTAAGAACTTCACTGGGAGAATGAACTTGCAGTGTGCCCTTAAATAAAATGCATACAGAACCCAAACCAAAACCAAACCCCCTGCCATCAACTCAATTCCCACTCATGGTAACTCTTTATATGACAGAGTAGAACTACCCCACAGGGTTTCCATGGCTATAAATCTTTACAAAAATAGACTGCCTCGTTGTTCTCCCATGGAGCAGCTGGTGGGTTCAAACCACCAACCTTTCAGTTAACAGCCAAATGCTTTAACCACTGCATTACCAGGGTTCCTTGTATACAAAACAGAGAAGAAAAATTTTAAATTCTTGAGAAATGTTTCTGAAGAAATACTAATTTCTAACCTGGATTCAAAATTTTTAAAGACTTACTCTGGGTTGAAATTGAAAGAAGGTCTTTAAAAAAGGTAGACACTTTTATACCAAGTAAAAATTACCTAAAGAAGTTCAATAAACTTCCATTAAGCCTTTAATATTCTTTCTCTGTGCAACAATAAAGGAAAGCAGATCATGCATTTTAAGTCTGATCTTACTTTCACAAGTTATGTTTTTTTAAGTTTCTCTTTTGGATAATGTATCTTACTATGTAACAGTCCCTCTTTTTCCTAGGAACTTATCCCACTGATAAACTTGCCACCTAACCTTTTATCACAGTCTCCTACTACCAAAAAAAATAAAAACACTGAATTTCATTTGTAAGAAATCTCCTCATCTTTTCCCCAGAGATACCAAAACAGTAACAGCATTTATATCTTTCAATGCTATGAATAAACCAGCTGATCCATAAAAGCAGAAAATTCTAAATTTCACACAGGGATACATGTTCACAACAAATACAGATGTCAAAATGAAAAATTCAGGCTGTACATATTATATATGACAAGCTTCAAGGCACTAAGGAAAAATAAAAAAAGTTGCCACTGAGTTGATTCCCACTCATAGAGACCCCAGAAGTAGATCATCAAGACTGTCTTCCAAGGTGCCTCTAGGGTAGATTTGAACTGCCAACCTTTAGGTTAGTAGCTGAGCACTTAACTGTTTGCACCACCCAGGGACTCCCTTCAACACACCAAGGTAATACAATTATTAGTGCCCACCTCACTCTCACAGAAATGAGAAAATGTATTTGATTATAAAATCAACATCCACATTTTCTTTTTGCTGTCATTGTTGCCACTCAAGGAAGCCACAGAAAACTGAGAAAGACAATGAAGCTTACCTGTGGAGTGCACCATTAGTGCAAGTCTTTTAAGATGCCTTGTGGATCGGTAGATCGTGCTGTAGCCTCGATCTCTTACTTTGCTGTGATGATACTGGATGTAGCGCTCAAGAAGTATATGGAGGATCCACAAAATAACTTTTCCAAGGATTATGACTGTCTGAACTTTCAATGGGTTAGTATAGTTTCCTGGACACTTGTCCTCATATGGATTCGGATAAGAACAAAGCACACCTGTTAAAAATGCTAAAATAACAAAGACAACCTGGTGGAAAGAAAAGCAGCAGGATCAACATTCAACATTTGGACTCAGGAAACACTACCTAACATCCTAGCACACACTCTTATGGCTATAAATTTCTTTACCCTATTTTTATAAATAAATTTAAAAGCAGGTTATTTTCACCATTTTTATGAACTTTTCTTACCCAAACATAAAAATTCGCAGAAAGTTTGGAAAACAGACAAAATTATAGAAAAAAAAATCATCCCTAACACCCATCTAACAGAGATGATAACTTAATGTTACAAGCAGCTTCCTACCCACCATCTTTTATTTAAAGGAGTAAAAAAGCATCTCCAAGGTTACTAATACAATTTACATTCTAAAAATTTATAGTTTTCAGAGAACAAGAATAATAATACAACTAGCTTGACAAAAATTTAAAGGTTTGGTGCCAGAACAAGTCAAACAGGCATTCTCCTATATTGGTGACTAAACTTGGAATTGCTTTTGGAAATATTTTGACCCAGAAATCCTACTTTAAGGACTACTGCCATAAGAAGTAAAAGCACCAACATGCATGCATGATATATGGATACAAATATTTACTATATATCTTTCTATTTGAAAAAACTAAAAACTGCCCAAGTATATGTGTCTACCCATAGTGGTATGTTTGAATAAATTATGATGCATTCACCCATATTATAGGATATTATGCAGTAACAAGAAGAATGAATTAAATCTGTGTGTACTGGTCTGAATGGATGTCTATGAGACACAAAGTTTGAATGGCAGAACAGTGTGTTTTCTGGACTGAGAGCATTAGCATTCTCAAGCTACAACCCAAACCTACTGTATCAGAAATTCTGAGGGAGGCTCCCAGCAACCTGTATTTTAACAAGCCTGCATGTGATTAATCTATTAAAAATAAAAGTGATTTATCAAGAGCAGTAATAATTGCTATTATGAATTGAATTGTTCCCTCAAAGTAAGTGTTGGAATTCTAGCACCTGTGGATATAATCCTGTTTAGAAATAGGGTTTTAATTGTTGTATTATAGGATCAATATGAGTCCAAACCAACTTGATGGAATTTTTTTTAAGTCAGTGTAGGGTATTTTTTAAACATAATCACTTCTAAGTTATAAAAGAGCAGGTTAGACACAGAGGCATACACACACAGACGCAGGAAGACAGATGCCATGTACAGACTGCAAAAGAACAAAGGAACGCCAGGGGCTAATGACAAGGAAGGAAGTGACAGTCAAGACCCTGAATTGGACTTTGCCTCTAGAATCATAAGAAAATTAATTTCTGTTCTTTCAAGACACCTACTTATGAATAATGTAGAGTCCACAATACACCATATAATGTTGATGACCTTGGAGGACATTGTGTTGAAATAAGTCAATCACACAAGGAAAAATTACTAGTCCACTCTTGTAAAAAGTCAAGGAAACATTTATATATGGAAGGAAATTTTCTTTGTTCATTACCAGGAATGGGAGGGGATAGGATGGAAAACTGTTAGGCTAAAAAAAAAAGAAACCCAATGGGGGATATGTATGTATCTCATTGTCGTTGTTAGGTGCCATGGAATCAGCTCCAACTCATAGGACCCTATGTATAACAGAAAGAAAAACTGCCTGGTCCTGTGCCAGCCTCACAATCCTTGCTATACCTGAGCCCATCATTGCAGCCACTGTGTCAATCCACCTCATTGAAGGCCTTCTCCTTTTTCGCTGACCTTCCACTTTACCAAGCATGATATCCTTCTCCAGGAAATAGTCCCTTCTGACACCATGACCAAAGTAGATGAGACAAAGTCTGGCTAGTCTTGCTTCCAAGGAGCATTCCGGTTGCACCTCTTCCAGGACAGATTTGTTAGTTCTTCTGGCAGTCCATGGTACTTTCAGTATTCTTCTCCAACACAATTCAAAAGCATCAACTCTTCCTCCATCTTCCTTATTCACTGTCCAACTTTCACAAGCATACGAGGCAAGTGAAAAATACCATGATTTGGGTTAGGCAAACCTTAGTCTTCAAAGAGACATCTTTGCTCTTTAGCTCTTGAAAGAGGTCTTTTGCCGCAGATTTGCCCAGTGCAATATGACGTCTGATTTCCTGACTGCTGCTTCCATTCGTGCTGACTGTTGTTGTTGTTGTTAAGTGCTATCGAGTCGTTTCCGACTCATAGCGACCCCATGCACAGCAGAACGAAACACTGCCTGATCCCGCGCCAGCCCCACAATCCCTGCTATACTTGAGCCCATCATCACAGCCACCGTGTCAATTCATCTCGTTGAAGGCCTCCCCCTCTTTCGTCGACCCTCCACCCTAGCAAGCTGACTGAGGAACCAAGAAATACGAAATCTTTATAATTTCAATCTTTTTTCCATTTATTGTGATCCTACTTGTTGGTCCAGTTGTGAGGATTTTCATTTTATGATGAGGTGTATTCCATATTGCAGACTGTAGTCTTTAATCTACATTGGTAAGTGCTTCAAGTCTTCTTCACTTATAAGTTGTGTCATCTGCATTTCACAGGTTAATGAGTCTTCCTCCAATTCTGATGCTACATTCTTCTTCATATAGTCCAGCTTGTTGGATTATTTCCTCAGCATACAGATTGAATAAAGTGAAAGAATACAACTCTGAAGCACACCTTTCCTGATTTTAAACCATGCAGTATCCCCCTGTTCCGTTTGAACGACAGCCTCCTGGTTTATGTACAGGTTCCTCATGAGTACAATTAAGTGCTCTGGAATTCCCATTCTTCTAAATGTTATCCATAATATGTTATGATCCACACACTCAAATGCTTTCACAGAGTCAATAAAACACAAGTAAACATCTTTCTGGTATTCTTTGCTTTCAGCCAAGATCTATTTGACATCAGCAATGATAACTCTTGTTCCACCTCCTCTTCTGAATCTAGCTTGCATTTTTGGAACTTCACTGTCAATATATTGCTGCAACCATTTTTGAATTATCTTAAGCAAGATTTTTCTTGCATGTGATATTAATGATACTGTTTGATAATTAATTTCCACATTCTGTTGGATCACCATTCTTTGGAATGGGTACAAATACGGACCTCTTCCAGTCAGTTGGCCAGGTAGCTGTCTTCCAAAGTTCTTGGCACAGATGAGCAAGTGCCTCCCACACAGTATGCATTTGTTGAAACATCTCAATGGATATACCCCAAAGACTATTAGTGGTTACCAGGGGTAGAAGGCCCAGGGGAGGGGAGCTTTTTTTGGCGGGGCATTAAGTTTACACTAATGGTGGTACAATATTTTGGAAAAGGATAGCAATAATGGTGGCACAATATGAAAAATGTCATCAATGTCCTTGAGCTGTAAATGTGGAAACAGTTATGTTGGTCAATGTCTTGGTATATATGTTTTCAACACAATACAAATAAATTAAAAACAAAAAAAAGACACCTACTTGTGGTATTTCTGCTACAGCAGCAGTACAAAACTAAGACAGTTGCTATGGCAACTCAAGATGCTTATCATCATAAAGCAAAAGTTGAAAAGTTAACATATTTCCTATATTGTAATACAGTATATATGCTACTGGGAGAACAAATGAAGAAGTGACTGATCCACATGTGATGCTGCCTCCAGGCTTAAAGTTGACCATAGTCCTGACAAACAACCTATTCCCTGAAATGACTATGCTGGCACCACAAATAGGAGGCCAGGGAACATAACACCCTTGACATGAGAAACATAACATCCTTTAAGGGACCTAGACCCAAATGATAACATTTGGACATTCTGCACTTGAAGGAAGGAGGGTTGTATGGCAAAGCCACATTAGTTCCTGGATATAATCTTTGGAGAATGGGCCAGTAACACGGAGATCTACCCATCCTGCTGCCATCAAGACCTCGCCTTGTATGTAAATTTTTCCCATAATAAATCTTAGACTGCTTATTCAACCTGGAGTGGTCTGGCCCTTTCCTACCTTCTGCAAATGATGGTTGCTTTCAGATTTTCCCTGGGGAGTTCTTTGGCCCATCACCACCACCCGACACTCAGTATACACTGAATTCCACTGAGCCATTTCATATAAAGTAGCATATAATGACATTAGTTTTTCTTGTTCTTTAACACTTAAGATTTTCTTACTCTTAACGTTGTTGTTGTTGTTGTTGTTGTTGTTATGTGCCGTCGAGTCGGCCCCGACTCATAGCGACCCCTCCTTGGGTTTCCAAGGCAGTATCGCTACGGAAGTAGGATTGCCCAACCTTCCTTCCGAGGAGTGGCTGGTGGGTTTGAACCGCCAGCCTTCTGGTTAGCAGTCAAGTGCTTTAGCCACTATGCTACCAGAGCTCCTTAAAATTAGGAGAGTCAATCCCACAGAATCAAAGGCATGATATATGTGTTTGTGTATATGTGTACTGTATATAAATAAAGAGTATGTTATGCAAATTAAAGGGAAGGTCAAACAAAAAAGAGAAAGAAAGAACAAAATCTGGGCTACCCTGTAAACAGGGGTACCGATAAGTGTCTCAGCTGGCATCTGGAGACCAGGAAGCCACAGCAGGCAGAACCATGACTCATCTCGGAGATCCACCTCTCTCCTCAATGAATTCATTTCTGCATGCCAGCTTCCCATGAGTGCATCTCACTAGAGGAGAATCCCCACAGCACGGGAACCTGGGAAATGTGTCTTGTGCAGTACAGTGTGCAGTACAGGCAGGTACATAAGAAGGATGCTGGGGCAGCAGCTCAGCAGCTGAGGGAGTCAATCAACCTCACTCCTGTTCTCATAAACACCCAAGGAGTGGTGAGTATATGCCCTCTTTTGACTTTAACTTTGTAGCAAAGAACAATTATAACCCCTAAAGCCTGAGATTGCCATAATCAAAATAAGGAAAGGATTAACAGATTTGGAACACACGTATTTCAAAATCCCCAGATACTTGTAATTTAATCATACAAACATGGAGAAACGGTGTATGTATTGTTCTGCTGCAACTTGATTCTTCTGCTTAACATTATTTCCTGTGTATGGATTAATTTTTATGCCAATATATGTACATTAATCTGCATATTTTGTATATAAGTGGAAAAAAATAATCGATATGGCAAAAAAAATCAGCCTTGGACTTCAGCTCTGCCTCCTGCTCCTGGCCCACTGAAGCTAGAGGCTTTACTTCACTCAGACAGCTGCTGGCTGCTGAGACTGACAAACCCAAGGTTGACAAGTAAAAAGGCACAGTCCTGATGTTACCAAACCACACAGCAGGCCATTAATTTAAGTCCATTGTAAGTCCTAAGAGCACGGCAGGCTGCTGAACAATGACACAGCTACATGCAGGGTCCACGCGTGCCATAAGCTCAAGACCATTTCTAAAGCTGCTCCTTATATACGGGAAGCAGACCATATACCCAAAGCAACTACTCAGCTGCTCCAACAGATTCTACCATGGAGTTAATTACCAATCTCATCATGGGAAATAACCACATTCAGCTGCCTAGCCACTCAAGCACGCCCAGCCAAGTTGGCACACAGACTTAACCACCACACAATGTTACAATAGGGTCTCAGGAACGCTTTTGGAAACATTCTCTTACATAAAGTAATACATGTTTATAATACATATTTCTCTCACTTTTAGAAACCTGCAAGTAGAAATATACACATTCTCATAAACCTGATTTTTTTAAAGTGTAATCATGAAGATTAGTCTATGCTAATATATACGTATCTACTCCATTTCTTTTTCAACAGTTCTATAACATTCCTTTGTAATGGATGGGACAAAGTCTCATCTTGATGTTGGGTACAATGCAGTCTTTTGATAATACCAACATTGCTATTAACAACATCCTGACAAGTATGCAAACATATCTACAATAAATTCTTTGAAGCAGACACAAGAGCAAAAAGGTATGCACATTATAAATGTTGATTTTAAAAAAAAGCTTGTTGCCGTCCAGTCAGTGCCTACTCATAGCAGCCCTGTAAGACAGAGTAGAACTGTCCATAGGGTTTCCAAGGCTATAATCATAGTGGCTAAGACACTTGCCTGCTAACCAGACGGCTGGCGGTTCAAACCCACCAGCCACTCCTCGGAAGGAAGGTTGGGCAATCCTACTTCCGTAATGATACTGCCTCGGAAACCCAAGGAGGGGTCGCTATGAGTCGGGGCCGACTCGACGGCACATAACAACATAACAACAACAATCTTAAAGAAGCAAATTGTCATATATCTTTCTGCTGCAGAGTGGCTGTTTCATTCTTACTGCCAACCTTTCGGTTACCAGCTGAGCACTTAAACCAATGCCCAAATGTTGGTAAGTGTAGCTTAATTGCCCTCTAAGAGCTTATAGATTTTTTCAGAACATCACTCTCTCCCCAGCCAACTTACATGTATTAACAAAAGAAGATTTGCAATGATGACCGTAGGAAGAGGATGGAATCTGGGTCTGAAATGAGCATGTAAGGAGTGATGTGGGAGAAGGTGGGCATCCAGCAGGGGGTCATCTTCAATACTTTGGGTAAGATCCAAGGAACCCTGGGGTACAGAAAACAAAAATAAGAAAAAAAAAGTTATAAATACCATGCCTGGATTATGCTTCTACAACAAATGTACTAAGTCATCAAGTTTTAAAACCATTACACAAGTGAGAGGCAAGAGAATGCCTTTCTTACATAAAGCAAATTAAAAACAAAACAAAAAATCTCAAACCTCTAGATAATTCTATTGCATACAACTTGGTGAGATAAGTTTTAACACAGGTGGAGGATATCCTAATTCAATTATTCTATACCTCATAAACAAGGCAATCCATAATGAGATAAAAGCAAGTCATTTTTCTTCAAGTCCCCAAAACTTTAAAAAAAAAAACTCACTGTCAAGTCATATTCAACTCACAGTGACCTCTCCCTGGATTTCTGAGGTGGTGTCTCTATGGAAGTAGATTGCCCAGTCTTCCTTCCAAGAAGTGGCTGGTGGTTTCAACCGCTAGCCTCCTGGTTAGCAGTCAAATGCCTTAGGCACTCTGCCACCAGAGCGCCCTCTCAAAACTTAGATACTGATTTATTTTACATTATTTATAATATTGATGAAATAATTGCATATGGTTATGATACTTAAATAATGTCTTTGATGTTCTACAGAATTTTGAAAAGCTGGTGGAGGCTTTATTAAGAGGGCCTAAAAGAAACTTTCAGTTATGATAGAAAGATTTTAGAATATTAAATTAAGGTTTAATAATAATATTAATAAGACACATCATGTTGCTGTGTCTTCAACGAGAGTTTCATTTGTATATATCAGATTCCCAATGAAAATAACTAGCTGTAATGTCACTGAAACCAATCAACCAACCAACTTGGTGCCATCAAGTTGGATCTGACTCACAGCGACCCCTCTTTGGGTTTCCGAGGCAGTATCACTACAGTAGATTGCCCAACCTGCCTTCCGAGGAGTGGCTGGTGGGTTTGAACCGCCAGCCTTCTGGTTAGCAGTCAAATGCCTTAGGCGTAGTGGCAGACAAAAGTTGAACAGTTTGAGTTGTCACCCAAAACTTTGGCTAGTCATGTTTAAAGGTATTATCTTGGCAGAAACAGTACTTCCAAGCCTCTGCTTCATACAAACCAAATACAAGTCTCTCAATCTTGGAACTTTACTGAATACTACTATGTATAAAAAGTGCCGAGTGGTATAATAATTAAGTGCTTGGCTGCTTACCAAAAAGTTGGCAGTTCAAATCCACCAGCCATTCCACAGGACAAAAGACTTGGAGATCTGCTCCCATGGAGATTACAGCCATGGAAACCCTACAGTGCAGCTCAACACTGTCCTACAGAGTCATTATGAGTAGGGATCCACTAGACAGCACACACCATCACTATATAATGAATGAATGCAAAGAAAAGAATGCAAGACGCAGTCCCTGTCCACAAGGAGATTACATTTTCATTAAGGAAGTTAGAGATAAAGCCATGAAGGATTAAAGAACACAAGGATGCCCAACAGAATGACACATAGAACACCATGAGAAAATTAAAAAAATATTAGTAAATGCACAGCCCAAATGACACAATCAAGTTAGGTTTGCTACTCGCACTGGAATGAGATAGAAATGAAAACTTCATGGGGAAAGGGAAACCCGAGAACAGGATTTAGATACAGAGGATAAGGGCACTTCACTTTGCAAGGCATAGTTAGTAGGACGAATGGAGTAAGGGACCGCTGCTGGCACGAGGATCAAAGATAAATATAATAATGTGGGGCATGATCCAGATGTGGGGTGGGTTCTTCAATTTCCAATCTGAGGCATTCAACACTGGTCGGCAACTCGGCAACTCTTCTTCTTCATACAGATATAACCCAAAACAAAGAGTTGCTGAGGAGTTGATTCTGACTCATGGAGACCCCACATGTGCAGAGTACAACTGCTCAAGGCCATGACCTTTCAAAGCAGATCACCAGGACTTTCTTCTGAGGTATCTCTGGGTGGTTTTAAACAGCCAACTTTTCAGTTAGTAGTCAAGTGCTTAACTGTTTGTGCCACCCAGGGATTGAACCCAGTTTTTTAATTAGTATTTCTTCTACTGATTATCTCTGTTCTCAAGACTCTTCTGCTTCTAGGTCTTTCTCAATCAACAGATGTGCCAGCCTCCACAACTTTTCCCTTAGCTGTTGTCGATGTACCCTTCCACGCCCAGCTGAAGTCATTCTCATCACCTGGCTTTCCTGGACACTCCAAATCTGGATCTTGCCCACAGAAGTAAACACAAAAGCAAGTACAGCTGGAAGAAGATAGATGTCACACCATCCAAAGCATTCTGTGATCACCTCCTCTATCACAATATCCTTTAGTGGTTTTCTCCTTCCTGGGCTGTCTTCCACACTAGACTTCATTAGACCCACGAGTTCAAGACCCACGAGTTCCTCACCTCATCTTCGTAATTCTAGCATCCAGCAGTGTCTCATAAACATCACTCAGTAAACCTTGTTGAAAGAATCAATGTCCCAAACCTGTTCTCTCAGTGTTCCCTAACTCTGTTATAGGCATCACCAATGGGATGGGCTAAAATCTGAGAATCAACTCTGACTAGAGGCAATAAGCACTGTGTTAAGCGTCACTCCAAAAAGCAAACAGCCTGGGTTCAAAGACAAGTTCTACTGCTTACTAGCTGTGGGCAAGTTACTTCATCTCTGTGTCTCTGTTTCCTCATTTAAAAAAGAGGAATAGTAATAGCACCAGCTTCGTAACATTATTGGCAAGATTAAATGAGATAATCAGAATAGTAGTATGGATTGTGAGAATGTGAACTAATCAGGAAACTATCCAGGCATTAAATGAGAAGAGCTGCAGAGCCGCATCAAATATCTGAGACTGGAAATTGAGGAGCCCACCCCAGATCTGGGAGCTCTGGTGGTGTAGATCCACATCTGGATCTGGATCCTCAGGTCTGAATCATGCCCAGGTGATTGTATTTATCTTTGCAATTCTACTGCTTAGAATAATGCCTGGCACCGAATAAGTAATCCATGAGTATCAGCCACTAGTAAGTCTACCTCCTGCTTTCTCTTACTCCCCACATAAAATTCCATACCTCTCTCTTAAACCTGTTGTTTCCTCTGTGTGAGTCCAGGACCTCATCATTTCTCACGGTCTTTGGCTAGAAGCTTCTGGTATCCATCCTTAGCTATCTTTCTTACTGCTGTCTGAGTTCTAAAAGAAATATTCATGTTTCTCTCCTCATAATCTTGGGAGCACTTCCCCACTATGCTCAAATTCTTAGCCTGGCTATCTGCTTTACAATCCACTCCCAAGCTACTTCCCACGATTTTCCTCTCACCATTTCCCTCACTTCTGATGCAGACTGTTCACTGTTCCCATCTCCCACAAAACCCTTTCAATCTCTATGCCTCCTCCAGCCTATCCCCCCACCTATCAAATGTTCTCAGCAACAATGCCACCTTCTCAGCGATGCCTTTCTAGCCAAACCTGTTGCCATCAAGTCAATTCCAACTCATACCAACTCTATAGAACTGCCACATCTTTCTCCCCCCATGCAGTTGGCGGGTTCAAATTGCCAACCTTTTGGTTAGCATCAAGCACTTAACCACTGCACCACCAGGACTTCTTGGTTCTAGGGCAGAACCCTGAGGAAAAAAAATCTTGTCACTTAGATCTCTTGAGCTACTCTGGTTTGGGACATTTCAGAGGTCTAGTTGTTAAGCCACCCAATAATCTTTCAAATATATTCCTTCCTACCTTAAATTAGCCAAAATTCATTTCATTGCTTGCAAACAATGAACCCTAAGTAATATAGTCTTCGGCGCCTTTAACTCATTTACCGGTCTGGGCCTATAACATGGCCCAGAAATTTCAGGTTTTTACTAAATGCTAAAAATCTTATCTACCAAAATACTAAAAGCAGTCAACTTGCTCATATCCAAAGTAACTCAGCTACATAACTATTGGTAAAACATTCATCTCCAAATGTCTAGTGTAACAGATTTCTAGGATTATTCATTACAAAGTTAGAAGTTACAGATCCAAGAACTCTGGGGCAGCTTTTCACCAAGAACTACTTACTGCTTCCTTTTTTTTTTTTTTTTTAAGTCTCTCATTTTTCTCTTCGATATTCATTTTTTTCCATAAATTGTCAGCTTTTGAATCTCAGCCTTCAATATTTAAATAAAATGGAATTAAAAAATATAATATCTATGAATCTCAACTCTACTTCAAGGTCTTACAGTTCATTTTCCATTTTATCCACTAAAACAAAAAGATATTTTTTGTCTTACTAGAAATTGTTTAGTCTTTATTCAAGATTATTTATCTATAGTCAATATTGCAGAAAAAACTAAACTCTTGTAACGCAGGAACCATGTTTCATGTGTTTTTTGTTTGTTTCAGTGATGGGGTCACAGTCACAGTCCTATTAATTTATCTAAAGTGGTTTAATGTAACCATCAACTTTGCATTTCTCAAAGGCAAAAATTATTATTATAGGCCAATGGGGCAATCCAGTTCATTCTGGGGGTAAATACATGTACCTCCCTAAAAATATCTTAATATAGTTAAGCAAAGAAAAAAGATTTTTGCAATTGTGCTATGACCTTGTGTTATACACATTGCAACAGGGCCACTAAGTTTTTCAGTAAACTGATCTAGATTTTTCTAAGTAAAGAGATTTTTGCCATCTTTTTATTCCTACCATGCGCAGATTCAAAACAACTCATGACAGTTTTTCTTTAGATGGGCAATGAGAATGACAGGTCTGCCCGCGGAGTCGCTGGGTCTGGCACGTGCGTCGCACCCGCTTCAGGTCCAGTTCTCTGGAACCAGGCTGCGAGCGCTCAAGGAAGGGAGATCCGCTCCCTGCGCTTGCAGGGGCGAGTGAGCGGATGCGCCGGCCCAGGGCCCACAGACGCGCCCAAAGGAAGGGTTGTCAGGCCAGACGCGCATCACGTGAAGAGCACAGTTCCGGATCAGAGACTAGCGCCGCACGTGGGCGAAGCCCCGACCTGGGGTCTCCAGACTTGCGTGCCCACTATCCGCGAGTTCACCCGGGCCTCCACCCGAGGAATCAAGCCCAGAGCCTGTGAAGGGGCACACCGAACTCACGGCCGCCTGACTGCTTCTGCCACAATCCTGCGCCCCAACCCGGCCCTGCCCGCAGGCAGCGCCCCCTCCAGCCGCATTGGATGGGGTAGCTGCCCCCGCAGTCCCCGCCCCACGCGCCCCAGCACAGGAAGAAGGGGATTTCCGTGGACAACCGCTCGCCGCTTTCGTGCACTCACGTCCTCCATCCTGCCTGCCGCCGCCATTTCCCGATGCCCGAGGCCGAAGCCCCGGCCGGGTAGGCCTCTCCACCTGAGCCAGGGTTCAGCCTGCAGTAGAAAATCGCCACCTTCAGGGACCTGTCGACTCCACCCCAGACACACCCCCTTTGCACCGCCCAGTCTTTGGCTGCCTCTGGGCCCACCTCCTTAACACCTGATTGGACAAAGCAGACGGACTGACGTGCCTCCCCTCCCCCCAAGGACGGGGGTGGTAGGCTGGAGCCGCTGGGGGTGATGGTAGGTTGTTGGGGTTTCTGGCAACTTCCACTTCTGTCCACTCCTTGCGGGAGATTTGAACTTTAAACTAAAAAAAAACTAGACCCACTGTCCTCGACCCTGTAGGACAGTATTGTTGTTGTTATTTGCCACCGAGTCGGCCCCGACTCCTAGCGACCCCTCCTTGGGTTTCCGAGGCAGTTATCACTACGGAAGTAGGATTGCCCAACCTTATAGAACTACCCTATAGGATTTCCAAGGCTGTAAATAGTGCCTAAGGCATTTGACTGCTAACCAGAAGGCTGGCGGCTCAAACCCACCAGCCACTCCTCGGAAGGCAGATGAGGCAATCTACTTCCGTAGTGTTACTGCCTCGGAAACCCAAGGAGGGGTCGCTATGAGTGGGTCTGCCTGGACAGCACATAACAACAACAAATCTTTATGGAAGCAGAGTGCGGCATCTTTCTCCTACAGAGCGGCTGGTAGGTTCGAGCCAACTCTTTTGGTTAGCAGCACAGCGCTTTAACCACTGAGCCACCAGAACGCCCTGATTTGGACATCAAAAGCATTAAAGCATGCGTTCCTAGTTCAAGAATTTAACTATTTGGGGCCGTGACTCATATCTTTTTATAACTTTTGGTCTTGCTTAGTTTTTGTTTGCAAGCACTGCTGTAGAATACTAGCATTCCCATTTGCTGACTGAAATTCCACCAGTAGAAGAGGAACGTGAGCAGAATCAAGATTCTACTTTCCGTAACTCATTTACGTATTTCACCAATAGAAAATGAAGCAGTTCGGAATTTTTAGGGTATTGTTTCTTTTTAAATTACGCGCATCACGTGAAGAGCACAGTTCCGGATCAGAGACTAGCGCCGCACGTGGGCTTACTTAGCTCTGAGTGCTTAGTAAACTCAATACTGTGCTAAGAGGATTACAAATATTACTGTAATAAAAAATCTCTATGAAATTGGAACTATAAACAGTTACATTTTTAGAGACAAAGAAGCTCAGTCTTAGAGAATAAAGCACCCAAGGTCACATCCTTAGAAGAATGCAGAATTCAAACCTATAATTCCAGAGCTCTGGTTTTAACCAGTGCACAGCATGTATGGATGTAACAATAAAATGCAACGTGGGAACGTGCATTTTGTATTATTTTCTGATAATACAAAACCGTTGTAAAAATGTAAGGAAATTAAACTTCCTGTTTATACTACCTCCCCCACCCCAAAGAGAACCCTGATAACCAGTTGGAGTATATACACTTTCGTAGTTTTTAATGATTATTTATTTGTACATTATGTATAATGAAATAAAATCATTCAGATAGAGTAAGACTTTCTGACTTTTGAAGTCTCTTAATCCAGAGATTCTATCAATTTTTTCCCAAGAGCCTATTCTAGACATATTTCCCATCATTTTATTTTGAAAAATTTTCTAACCAACAAATATTGAAAAAATAGTACACTGAACATCCATATAACCCTCACATTGATTCACTAGTTGTAAATAGTATGCCACATTTGTTCACACACATTTTTAAATGAACCATTTGGAAGTAAATTGAGGACATCATGAAACTTCATTCCTAGTTGAAAGTAACAGCAAGGATTGCTTAAAAATTAAGATATTTTCCGTACATATCACAATGTCATTATCACACCTAAGAAAATTAACGATAATTACACATTTGTTAATAACCAATCCATAGCAAAATTTTCCAAATTGTTCTCAAAACGTCTTTTTTTTTTTTAGCTGCCACACTTTTACCCATCCATGTTCTGATCTAGGTTCCCACGTTGCATTTTATTGTTACATCCATACATGCTGTGCACTGGTTAAAACCAGAGCTCTGGAATTATAGGTTTGAATTCTGCATTCTTCTAAGGATGTGACCTTGGGTGCTTTATTCTCTAAGACTGAGCTTCTTTGTCTCTAAAAATGTAACTGTTTATAGTTCCAATTTCATAGAGATTTTTTATTACAGTAATATTTGTAATCCTCTTAGCACAGTATTGAGTTTACTAAGCACTCAGAAACTATTACTTTTTTAAATGAAGTTTAATAGGGTACAGGTAGTTCGCAATTTAGGACCTATTCTATTTCCTACAAATCAGCTTATGACTATCTATCTTTTCTTTGTTTTTTTGTGCATTTTACAAATGCCTCAGGAGCTGCAGGATATCCAGGTAAAGGGGCAGAAGGCAAGGCTAGGCCCCCAGCCCCCTAGAGCCAGGAAAGGGAGGGAGCAGCCAGGGACCACAAAGTGGCAGGTTCCCGGTAAGAATTAAGTAAGGGGAAGATGCAGAGGTTTCCAACAGCTAAGGGAGACAAACTTGTCTGTCAGTTTGTCATCCTGTGGGGCTTGTATGTTGCTGTGAGGCTTGAGGCTGTGCCACTGGTGTCTCAGACACCAGCAGAGTTTCACATGTTGCACAGGTTTCAACACAGCGTACAGACTAAGACAGACTAGGAAGAAGGAGGAGGCCATCCACTTCCCAAAAATTGGTCAGGGAAAACCTTGTGAATAGCAGAGAAACACTGTCTGATACTTTACTGGGCAATTTTCTGAATAGCTTGGAAAGATTGTCTGACGCACTGCAGGAAGACAAGCACCTTGGGTCGGAAGGCACTCAGAATAGGACTGGGAAAGAGCTGCCTCATCAGAGTAGAATCAACCTTAATGATATGGATAAAGCAAGTCTTTCAGGACCTCCATTTGCTGACATGGCATGACTCAAATGGAGGAGAAAACAGCTGCAAACATCCATTAATAATTGGAACATGGAATCTACAAAGTATCAATCTAAGAAAATTGGAAGTTGTCAAAAATGAAATGGAACGCATAAAGATTGATATCCTAGGCAATAGTGAGCTGCAATGGACAGGTTTCGGGGATTTTGAATCAGATAACCATATGATATACTATGTTTGTTGTTGTTGTTGTTATATGCCGTCGAGTTGGCCCCGACTCATAGCAACCCCTCCTTGGGTTTCCGAGGCAGTATCGCTACAGAAGTAGGATTGCTCAACCTTCCTTCCGAGGAGTGGCTGGTGGGTTTGAACCGCCAGCCTTCTGGTTAGCAGTCAAGTGCCTTAGGCACTGTGCTACCAGAGCTCCTACACTGGATATATCCCTCCTGAATTTAGAGACTATTTAAAGAATAGATTTGATGAATTGAATACCAATGACGGAAAACCAGAAGAATTGTGGGATGACATCAAGAGCATCATCCATGAACAAAGCAAGAGGTCGTTAAAAATATGAGAAAGAAAGAAAAGACCAAAATGTATGTCAGAAGGGACTCTGAAACTTGCCCTTGAGTGAAGAGTAGCTAAAGCAAATGGAAGAAATGGCAAGATAAAAGAGCTGAACAGAAGATTTCAAAGAGCAGCTCAAGCATTCAAAGCCAATTACTGTAATGAAATGTGCAAAGGCTTGGAGTTAGAAAACCGAAAGGGAAGAACGTGCTCAGCATTTCTCAAGCTGAAAGAAGTGAGGAAAACATTAACAGTGCACAATTCCTTCAGTGCAGCTTCGGCTACTTTCTTCAGTATCAGTGGTTCTTGATCATATGCTACCTCCTGAAATGGATGAAAAGCTACCAGTTCTTTTTGGTACAGTGACTTTGTGTAATCCTTCCATCTTCTTTTCATGCTTCCTGCATCATTCAATATTTTGCCCATAGAATATTTCACTATGGCAACTCGAGGCTTAAATTTTTTCCTCAGTTCTTTCAGCTTGAGAAATGCTGACCGTGTTCTTCCATTTTGGTTTTCTAACTCCAAGTCTTTTGCACATTTCATTATAGTAATTAGCTTTGTCTGCTCGAGCTGCTCCTTGAAACCTTCCATTCAGCTCTTTTATCTTGTCATTTCTTCCATTGGCTTTAGCTACTCTCCATTCAGGGGCAAGCTTCAGAGTCTCTTCTGTCATCCATTTTGGTCTTTTCTTCTTTTCTCATCTTTTTAATGACCTCTTGCTTTCTTTGTGTGTGTGGTTACCCTTTCCTTATGCCCTTCTTTCCTGTACATTACTGTCTCCCTAGCTTTCTCCCTATGCAAATGTTGCCTTTATTATCTCCCCTGGTTGATTGTTCCAAGGAGTGCATTTCCCTGGTGTGATTTTTCAAAACCAAAACCCAAACTCACTGCCATCAAGTAGGATCCAACTCATAGCAACCCCACCTTGGGTTTCCAAGGCAGTATCACTATGGAAGTAGAATGCCCAACCTTCCTTCTAAGGAGTGGCCTGTGGGTTTGAACCGCCAGCCTTCCAGTTAGCAGTCAAGTGCCTTAGGTGTAATTGTTCAGCTCCTGTCTATTGTTTGGCTAAGAGTTAAGCCATGACAGTAGATCCAGTTCCAGGCCTGAAAGATGATTAGAGGCCAAAGTCTGAGGTGTTTCACCAATATCTATCCAACCAGTGAACCTGGTCTTTTTAATATTTTTTAGTTTTGTTCCACATTTTTCTCCTCCTCTATCCAGGATCTCCAATTTTGGTCCCTTTCCCAGTTGTTGGCAGTGGTAGCCAGGCACCATATAGTTCCTCTGGTCTCAGGGTCATATAAGCTGAGGTTCTCATAATCCATTAGTCCTTTGGACTAATTGTTTCCATGAATCTCTGATTTTCTTCATTCTTCTGTGTTCTGGAGGAGAAGAAACCTGTAGTTGTATTTTAGATGGCTGCTTGCAAGCTTTTAAGACTTCAGTCACTACTCATCAAAGTTGAATGTAAAACAATATTTTTGTATGCTGTGCTGTATCAGTTGAGCATGATATCCCCAGCAAACCTGGTACCAAGCTCTCAG